TTCCATGTACACACTATGCAAATTATTCCAGTACACATATAAGCGGTGACTACATTGGGCCATCTGCAGAATGAATGCTCTTGATTCACGTTTCAATATTCTTTCCAAAGCAGAGACAGTACAGTCTGATGGATAATTTATGTAACGCCTCGAACAAGTTGCCATGTATTTGATATAAAAACAAACAGCTTCTTTGTTTCGCTTTGCTTTGTTGAACTTTTCATGTCTGAAAAACCCTCAGTTTTCTTACTGTCCCCGAGTACAAGAAAATATTTTCCCAAAAAATTATCTACACTTTTACAGCAATCGGTGCAAAGGGTAAGAAGCTGGTGAATTTTTCTATTGGTGGGTTATTTCTTCTTAAATTAATAAACAGAATGAATGTAACAAATCATTTGGTATCTGAAGACAAAAACACCATGTTACTGTTTGTGGAATGAAAGTCAGCTTGAAATCATTTCGTGTGATAGATGTCACTAAAGGTGTTTGTATTGTTTTTTATTTGGCAAGACTAACAAGTGAAGCCGTTATCGCCCATCTATACTCCATGGACATCTCAAGTTTATTTACACTACTTCGAAACTTAGATAACTTATTTCTACTCTATTTTCATAAAATATTGGATAGTTAAATAAATCCAGTTATTTAATTACACTATGAAATTGCTACTGTTGTTTGTTCTCTGCCTTCCTGGGTGAAGCAACGAGATGCTCAGTTCCGAAGCTATTCTCAAATGATTTAGTCCAGAACAATACCACAGAAATACCATTGGTGATTGTAGATGGATTTGTCTTAATCTAAAGTGGTTCCTATGAACTTTCTGCTTAAAAGTGTTTCCCAAGTGGCATAATCCTATGCCTGTTAAATAAGATACATCAGAGTTTACAGCACTTAGCAGTGTCGGTAAGGCAAACAAGTTACTTCAAAGTCAACTTTGTCGAAAGTTTTCTCATATTCCGTGAGGACAACTTAAACAGTTGACTGCTATTCTAGCCTATGAATGACGACAATTTGAAGTTGTACAGTGAGATTCGCTCATGATTTGTCTCCCTTCAACTCATACTCATTCTACCAGTGACATTCATCCATGATATCTGCTGAGACAGATAAGCGTAACTATTCTAAATGAAAATGACTATCTGTTTGTTGTGAAAACTTGATACTGTACGTAATGTCATTTGTTTATAAATGAAATCAATTCGCACTTTCCTACTATCTAAGTGTACAAATACACGCTACAGATTGTTGACTACTTGAGTAATAAAATATGCACCAAACAATTCTTCCTTTCTCTATAGATGAATACAGGAAGGCACTGGAAGAAGATACCTCTTTTAATTACAAAGTTCTCGGTATGATTGATTTCTTCACTAAAAGTTGTAATACCACTTAATCTAAAAATCATCGGTTCGCTGAAATTAGGTGACCAGTGCTGTGTAGAATGTACACAAGGTTTTGAACTGGTGTTTTGTGTCAAGTCATTATTTCAACCTTTAATCATACTTCCTCTTCATCCACGTCAATCGCACTTTGCTACCTAAACATTTTTGAGTGAAATTACCTGAGGATAAATCTGATAGCCGTCAGGACATTTCTTACCAAAGTAGACCGCTCTTTTTTTGTTTTTTATAGTGATTTGTTACTAAGATCCATTGTTCCAGTAATATTCAGAAGATCTCCAGCTTATTTGTCTGTTGATTGATGGCATTATCGTTTCAACTGATGATTATTTTCATAGACTGCATATTTGCGGTCATATTGCTTCCTCCTCTTACAAAATACTGGTCACATTCACAATTGTTATACATGGCTTAGGTGAAATCGGTGGTTGATACATGATATTACGCTAAGATCTTTTAGATGCCTAAAACAGAGTCATACGAAGGCATCCAGGTAGATAACCACTGTTATTTTTTCGGAGGAACATTCCACAGCTGAAAAAAATATTGTAGTCCAGATCTTACAGAACTTATGAGTAATAATTATACCTAGTCACTTTTCATTTATTTCATCAGCTAATAAAGGATTATACAATCAGACGAAAACGCATATTTCAAAGAAATGGGAAAATCGAAAAACTCTCGATATTTTAGAAGGTAAAGTTTTGATGATTCCACTATTATGAAAGGCAGCAGGTTATATGACATTTTATAAATTAAATATCCTTCTTCTGTAATTAAGCGAAGCGCGTAAAGTCACAAAAACGTCTCGTTTTCACACGAGATTTATCACAACACATCGCAATGGCGATATGTGCTATTAAAAAAACACCCACAAGTTCGAAAACTGACTTAGCGAGAAAAGCACTTGAAACATCCGTTATTGACAGTCTTAAATTAAATCTCGCATGAACTGGTGCCATTGTAGGAGAAAACGATATTCTGTAGGAGTGTTCTGCACATTTCAATGGTTCCACTCACTAATTTATGTCCATGATAATGTGTATTCTGAGACTTCTTGTATATCCGCGATTTTCTCATCAGCACTGACATTCACACTTGATAATAATAATTTGCTTTATTCCAGAAACAGTACTAGTGGTACAGTGTGGAATTTCCCGCACATATCTACAATATTTGCATCTAATTTTACAGACATTTAAAATAAGTATTAAACAAACAAATAAAATAATCTGAAGACACCAACAGCAAAAAAACAGGATAAACACAAAATAATTATGAATGCGAAAAAGTACAAAAGTCTACCAAAGTCTAATGCAGTGTTTGTGGTGGTAGTGTGAGTAATCCTGAATAATACAAAATTTTTTAAGGTGGTGACTATGACGTTCACAACCAATGATTGTCAGTTTAATATTGCCGAAAAGTATAGAAAAATAAGAAAAAAACAGCCACAAAACTAATATTACATGATGGTTAATGACAGGACAATTTCGTAACACTCATAGTGCTAATAGAGTCGGAACCAGTAGATACACAAAAGAAGGAATACAGTAAAGTAAAAAAAGTAAGTCAATGTTAGTAATTTAGGTAGCTAAGTATGTTTAAAAAGGAGTTCACTATAGAATACAAAATAAGAGAGAAATAAAAGAGCCTAAAATTATATCGTTAATAACAGAGCAAGTCATAGGTTTCACTCTCAACATTGTCTCTGTCGCTTAGAACACGGGCCAAGTATGGTATCGTTGAGTTCCTATACTTGGTTGTACGAGCATAGATTATCTTATACTGATTTCTGGTTTTACTTGATGAGATGCAAGGCGAGAGTTAGGAATAGAGGGGGTGTTGGGGGTCGGAGAGTATGGTTTTTGACCATTTTTCGCATGTATTCAGATGCCGATCAACTAAAGTAGTGACGAGCTGACTGAGTTTTACACCAATAGTCTTACCGACTACCTTCAACATCCTTCTCAGGATGGCGTAGTCCTATTCAGTAGACCAGGAAAGACTAACGGGGAGCAGTAAAGTAGAATAGGTGAGATACAAGAGTTGAAAAATTGTGAAAGTAGAGGTTGGGTGATTCCAGATTGTCTAAGTTCCTAATGTAGAGAATGATAAGAATATCTGTGTTTAAAGGTAATATCTGAATAAGAGAGAGAAGTTCATAGAATAAGCGACAGTAAGCAAACCCCATCCATGTATTTTATCATTAGAATCAGTTGAAAACCGAGTACTTTCCATCGGTATGTGAGTGAGAATACACTTACTCGATGGTTTGATAGCACTTTCTAACAAAGCTTTATACTTGGTAAATAACTTAATTGTGGCATCATTTGAAAAGAAGTCAGATGAACCCATCTTCAAATAAATTGATTATGATAATGTTGGATTCATCGTATACCTGGAAGTTGAGTGACATTGTTATGTATCAATTGTAGACAAATATTTTGCGGAAACATCAAGCAATTTGATGAAAGACGAAGGTTAGTTTTCTTTCACATTGAAATTCATCTTCGTCACTTATTAACTGTGCTGAAATATCTGTCGTCATTTTGTGAATAGTAGTTCCTATGATCTAGTTGATATGCATATTCACAATTCCACTGAAATGCGGTGAAATTTATTCGTAATAAACCATGTCTGAATATCCTTTGTGACAAACAGATGCAGCAGCTAATTGATTGTTCAACTCAATTCTCGAATTGTTTGTATATTGGAAAAGCGGTTTCCATGCATTCGAACACTATATCTGCCCGAATTCACTGAGTACCAGCATATTGAGTAATGACGCAGGTGGATATAAATCGAAAATCTATTCATATAAGGATCATCTTGATGAGTAATACGTAGTGCAATTTATGACAATGAACACTGTGGTTCACATTTTATCAACCTCAAATATAAAGTGTATTACATGATTTTATTATTCTTTAGTGCGAAATGTGTGTGTGTGTGTGTGCGTGTTAACATCTATGCCTCACATACCATGGTTCACCCAAAATAATGGAGAGAAATATGTTCACGCAGTGAACTGTCAGTGTAACGATAGAAGAAAAGAGACTTGGTAAAGCAATGCTTATTCGGGATTTTGTATCTCCAAATTGCCAAATTATGTACATCTTATCTTCAGACCACCATTTTCACAGAGCTTCTGCGTTATGCTACTTCTCATTTTTATATTATATTTGTTCGTATTCGTATCACATCTGTCATGTTTTACAGAAACGCTGAATCATTTGCTTTCTTTGACGTCAAACCCATCTCCCTGCTATTCGATGTTTTTATGAAGAAGAGCGTTTCCTTAGATTCTACTGATAAATCTAATCAGTTTCAGACGCCACATCAGTCTTTTACACGCAAAATCTCCTTAAATTATAGCATGTCTTTATACATACAAGTTGTAAAGTGCAAAACCATTGACGTGATTATTCATTCAATGATTTATCAAATTATTCTAAAAAAGTTGCAATATTCTACGGAAACTATTATTGTTCTATAGTGGAAAACGTCAAGCGAACCTTGAAGTTGGGCACAGATGCAGTATAAATGCAGTTTACACCTAGTGAATGTATTCGTGTTACTGATATCAGTAAACTACTCGAAATGTCATGTGGTAAGCTGCCTTGTTTTGCGACAGTCGGAAGCCATTGCGTTAATATGATTATTTCATAATGAAGAACACACAATGAAACATTTCATACTTTTCGATACTGTGAAATTATAGTTGAAATTGAAATGATAAAGAAGCATTTGAAGGAGGCGAAGGAAGCAGTGAAAACATCCAGAGGTAAAAAAATTCTGTAAATTCTTATTGCACACTACGTTCATGAATAATAAACTTTTAGTATGATAATTCATTAGTCATTTTGTTAACTGTTAGTCGTTAAGTGCCCTATTTACTCATCAATAACAGACACATTAACTAGTATGTATTAGATATCTTTTCCACCACCAGTACAACAACTTCTCAGAAATATTTGGAAGGCAAGTTTTACCTCCAGCGAGTCATCACTCGTTTCGTGAGAGGTGGACTAAACTTCTGAAAGCTGATATATTCACTGTGTGGTGAGAACGAACGTGTTGAGACATAATCAAATTATAATGACACATTTTCGGATCGTCAGTGTGTTGTATTCAGTATAATGATAAATATGACATTGAAGTTTCTTGATTAACATTTTAAATATCATTCAACACTTCCTGTTTTTTAGTTAAGCTTGAATGGCTGGAAGAGGCAGCAGTCACTGCAACTCATCAACACAGAGATATTTTAAGTGAGTGCATATATTCACCAATTTGATCAGTGTTCTTCAAGGTACAATGAAGCATTGAACAAGTCTATTACGATTCACCATTCGATGGACGTGATGATGCTTATGTATAAAAAGTAGGGGCGTTTAATTAGTCTTCAACACACAGACGTCTAACGAACATACGTTTCCACAACTATTTGATAATTTCCACTCAATTGTAAAATAATATGAAGGTAAGATTGACTTCCACCTTGCTTTACATGGGAAAGCAGACGAAAGAGTAGACCAATTGAAGATGACGTTGACTGTAAGAGTGAAATAGTTTATACTGTGATTGAATATAATTCGATATGAGATAAGTTCGGTGAATATAACACACATTGTCACGGTATTCATAACTAGATGTCGCTTCTAGAGGAATCGTTTTCTCATAATCATATCATATGATTCTATTATTATTACTTAGAGTATTTCCGAACTTCGGAGAAAAGAAGATCTAGAACTGGTGAGCGAACAATTTTACCTTGCTTGCAATACTTCGAAGTTCGAAATGTATTCATCACTAAAATCCATGCGATTCATATTTGGTTGAAAATTATGACATTACAACAACAAGCAACGTATGAACTTCATGTTTACCGGAGAATGAAATCATCATAATTGGATCACCGTTACTAGCTGGTTGTCAGAAATAATTAAATTTTGCTCGTCAACAAGGAAACATCGAATAAATTATGAACAGAACAACGCATGGTATTTTGAATTGACAGTGACTTGTTCTTGAAGATCTTTACTTTGAAGATCATGTGAAGGTAAAGACAACAGACCAACCAAACGATAAGTGAAAGTAAGAATTTACTCACCAATTGAAAATACAAAGCGCGGAAATTACTTACGCATATCTCATTCCACATTGAATGTATTTGTATGAAGTACTTCCCTTCAATAATTTCGAGTACGCAAACGAATCTGAGTTTGATAACAAGTTATTATTCATTTCAGACATATTGTATGCTGCTAAAGTAAACGAAGTGTATCAGAAGGCTCGTATTAATTTCGCCATCGGCACAAGTAATTTTACATGGTTATTTGATTTGATCACATGTTATATTTCATAGTTCTAGAGATGAATGCACCTCTCAGTGAATTTCATTTTCGTAAGAGACTAAAGTAGCCTACATGGCTAATGATGTGTATATTATCAAGTCATCGTATTCACTTATACCAAATTAGACTGTATTATTGATAAAATCAGCAGTATTATTGTTGGTGACAATTAAGTCCAAAATAGATATGCACAAAAGCGTCACATTTACTGCTCCTATAGAGTTAATTTCATATTACCATGACATGCGAAACTACTCCAATGAAGCTTCAGTGACTTCATCAATGCATCATGCAATAAAGCCATACAAATTTATGATACACGTTGTTAAGTTCAGAATAAAAGTTACATGGAGACTACATTACATGATTGAGCATTGTGAGATTTGAGTTTTATTTCATATTGTTACAACGTAACATAAAAAATGGTACAAATGCGTCACTGACAATCTATTCATTGTTTTAGAGGAACTAGGTGAGAAAATAAAACTATTGGAAATGAAGAAGATTGAATTTTTGAAGTGTAAGTTGAAATATTGAAATGATTTACAACTGTCTAGTTCAAACCCTAGAAGATAGAATAAAGTTGCTCCTGGCTGAAATGAAGGAAGATGCCAAGCAGTTTTATTGAAGTAAGTTCCTACTTATATCCTCAGCGTGTTTTTATTTGCTAACCAACTGCACAAGTGGATCAGAACTTGAAGATGGATTTCGTGGTTAGCTGAAATAAGCTAGATGAATCCTTGAGAACCAAGTACCAATGAACTCCTGTTAACTCGCATTTCTCGAATAATCATCAGTGAACAGGCGCATGAAGGCTGAGCTACTGACTGACCAGTCACATGATCCCAGTCGCCTGGTGCACCCAATATCAGGGTTGTAACAACTGTTGAGAACATCTTAAATTCAGATGGTACTCTGCATAGCTCATTTCCTGTGAGGGGAATTTTAACTTTGAATCAAGCAGATAATGTACACAATTATTCTGTGTTTCAATATTCACTGAAAGTATTGCCTGAGGATTATTGTGATTGTCAGTTAGATGAAAACTGTCGATAATATTTTCTGCTTTACACGATACCTGTCTACTTTCAACTCAATTTTACTCTGTTTCTGGGTTCATTTTGTTTCAGCTGCAGGAAAATGAATTCGATTCCAAGGGAATTGAAGCAATATTGGTGAAGGAAATACGTTGTTTTCTTATCTCTTTTTTGTTTAATTAAATATAATATTTTCCTTCGTAAGATCTTGTTCCAGTTGGCGTTTTCTGTCTTTCTAGTGGAATGTTAGGTGTCAGAATGAAGTAGCTAATAAGAACAAAATGGCTGACCACTTGCGCACAACTCGATGATTATTGTTTTGTCGGACGAAGTGTATCGAGTAGTCAATGATGAAATGTGTTTTTAAATGTCAATGACTACAAGGTACATATACGCGCAAAGAAATCTCATCAACGCAACATTTTCAAGTTATTTGTTACGCGGATTTCCATGAAATACAATGTCAAAGGTGATTTGTGAAGTTCTACTCACACATGGGTTGATTGTTTATTGGTTATTTTGCTAACCACAGATTACAATATAATATATTGAATGTAAATTCTAAAGCACATTACGCTTCATTCGAATACAGAAATTTCGTCATCCGTGATATGAAGACATACCATAGTCTGAGAATGACAGAATTTAAGGCCCTGTAGATAAGTCAAAAATACGTGTTGAGAGCTTGTATTTCCACAGTGATAAAATTCCCAATTACTGGAATGTGTTCAAAATAGCATTGAATTTCAAAACGTTATTCAAATCTCTCAGTTGTTTCTTGCAGGACAAGGGTTAACTTGAATGTCGTTTATACTAAAATAAAGTCGAATTAAGGCAAAAATAGTGAGAAGCAAACTTTGTGAACAACATTCTGAGTGATGTACGAAACACAATAGTTGTCCTGTTATATCACAGACCATTTACAGAAACGCCAACTGCTGTATAAAGCGACATATGCTATCGAAAACTAGACCGTGAGCAAATCAAAGCGTTCGTACCATTTTCAATAGTGAAACACGACTCTCGTTCATGTCAGTCAAAATCTCAAAACACTTTGACACGATGATACTTGCGAAATCTTTCATGTCTTTCATAGATGAGTAGAGTGTTAATCGGATGATTGCAGGCATATGTGGATAAGTCAAAATTTACATGTGTTCATAATCAAGTGATTGTCGGTTGCATGCTTTTCATCATCATCAAGCTGCTCAAGTAAGATTGAGGGGTAGAGAGAGCGAGCGAGCAATACAGAGGGCGAAAGTGCAAGAGGGATGATAGAAATGCATTTGTTCCTAAGGTTTCCTAGTGTTGATGAAATCGCGTGCTTGTTTTCGGCCTTCTTATACCGATGGATATTTCTGGAACACAGGGAATAAAAGTCAAGAGTCAATGATTCAGGGGTGAGCCAGGCAGTCCAGCAGTGAGATAGTCAGTCCATACAGTGAGCAGGCAAATGAATAACAAGAGTGGTCGAGTAATGATTGTCAATGCTGATTGAAGGAAGCATTGATTCCTTTCAGTCAAGCCTGTATCACCACTGAATATCCCATGTTAGGAGAATCTTGTGTGTGATAAAATCAAACACTGACACAGTAATAATGAATTATTTACTGTCTACTTGTGTCATCGAATGGTTTTCTTTCTTATATGGTGAAATCCAACTGTACTGCACCACAGTGTATGCATATGCTCTAATCTCCTCAAATGTACCATGACTACTTAATTATTATTGTGATTTGGGACTTCAGTGGATTTTAATACTTCACTGTCGCCTCAGGTTAAGAAAGTGGTGATTGCAACCTATCACACAAAGAAGCCATTGTGATAGTAGAATTCATGACTTTGCAATTGACGAGTGGACAAAGTCTGATGAAGTAGAAGTGATATGTCAGTGATGCACTACTGCCTCGGTGAATTCTGATGTATCTCAGTCTCACTGAGGATGCATGTTCGTCAGTTATCTTATGGATGCATGGAAGGATGGATGAAAATGAATTCATATTAGATGAGATGAGCTGTGGCGATTCGACTTCGTGGAAAAGAAAATATTCTTCGCTACAACTGTCTTTTAATAATTCCTATGATCATATGTGTAAATTCCTTAAGTGTCACCACATTATTATCTGTCTGTGGAAGTCATTGAGTCGACTGACACAAGCTACATAATAGTGTGAAGACACCAAGAATAGTGTATAGATATGCGGACTGGAGAAATCCACTATTCATCATTGATTGGCATTCAGATATCACGAAATTGCAGGACTACTGTATCACTATAAGAGAAGACAATGTACAACAGTCACAGGAGTCTGTCTCTCCAGTAATGAATGCTGACGACTGGTTAACATGATAGGATGTTGAGAATAGAGAAATAATGAGACAGACAGAGACAGCGAAAGAGAGTGGGAGAAAGAGTGGAGAGCAGAGAAAGAGAGAGTGTGTGAGAGGGCGAGAGTGATGAATTGACTGGTAGAAATGCGGTGTGAGTCGGTGAGTGTGTGATTCAATCTGTGTTTGCTTGTGTTTGCACGTGTACGAGTGTATTTGTTTAGAGTGCTGGATTTATGTTCCCCCCGAATCTATGTGAGCTTCAAGTGATGATGAGGTGAACGTTTTCTCATCACAATAAGACTGTTGAGGATAGAATTAACCTCAGTGCATGCTGGGAGGTATTCACGAGAGGAAACGTGTCTGTTCATGTATGTCTGTGTGATTAACATACGTGCGTATCGTGATTTCATTTTAACGGAGACAGATACACTGAGATCGAGAAAGACAGACAGAAAGATAGAGAGAAAGACAGAGGAAAAGCGTGTGTCTGTGTGTGTGTGTGAGTGAGAAAAAATTGTGAGAGTTTCTGGCACTGTAGGAAAGTACGCTATGCCTTCACTAAAAAGCAGCCCAGTGTGTTACACTAATTTTCCTAATAATAATAACTGGCATTTTTTGAATGATTAGGCAGAGAGACAGAGAGAACATGAAGTTCATCCTTAATCCTAACCAAAACATCCCAAAGTGCGTTCTTCAACTATATGTGAAAGCTCCGAAATGCAATTTTTTGTTTTGTGTGGAAGAATTCTGACGAGGATATCAAAGCAAGAATCGGAAAAGCAAGACAAGCTTTCACTACTCTCAAGTCTGTGTGGAGGTCAACAACACTCAGCATCAAAAATAAGATCCAGATTTTCAACTCCAATGTGAAGTCAGTGCTACTATACGGATCAGAGACTTGGCCAGCGCGTCATAAAGAGCATCTCAAACAAACTACAGACCTTCATTAACAGTTGTCTTCGCTCAATACTCAAGATCTGATGACCAGAAAAGATCAGCGACAGGGATCTCTGGGAGCGAACCAACCAAGCAGGAATCGATTGTGAAACAAATATGCAGAAGGAAAAGGAGATGGATTGGTCATGCTCTGAGGAAACCATCAAGTGACATCACTAGAGAAGCCCTTGAGTGAAACTTGAAAGGGAAGCGGCAAGTTGGTCGTCAGTGCAAGGGTGACTTGGAGGAGGTCATGTGAAGAGGAGATGAAAACGTGTGGGCAGACATGAAGCGAGGTGAAGACTCTAGCAGAGAACCGAACTCAAAGGAGACGCACGGCTGAAGCCCCATATTCCTCTAGGAATTAAAGGATACAATAATAATAATAATTCTATGATGGATACAATTTACCTTGATAAAATCTCTCTCACTATTATGTACTGATGACGTTTCGAGCACAATTTATTGCTCATAATCATATCAAGGTACTCAAAACGAGATTAGGAAGTTGTGTGAGCACCTTGACATGATAATGAGCAATACATTTTGCTCGAACCGTCTTCAGTAAATAATACTGTATAACACTGTGAGACTTTATTAAAATAAATTTTACCCTTATAAGTTTGTTTATTAGATGTATCACACAGTGAAACAGTATTATTTATGAACAATAAATATTATTATATTACAAATATATATTATGTTTTATTATATATATTACTACATTATATTTTTATAAAATATATTTATTATAAATCAATAAATATTATGAACGATAAATTTTGTTCGAAACGTCATCCACTGTGTGGTACATCTAATAAACAAACCAATATGAAATTAAATTTTACTCGTAATGGAATTATACTCTACCGCAGAGTAGAAGTTCTGCACTTATGTCAGCGTGGAGGAACATTGGAACTAACTCACTGCAATTGATTTTCAAGGAAACATGGACCACTCATAAGGGGCTGGCTCTCAAAAGATACCCGGAAGCCAATAGAACAGAGGAACTGGACTATCAAACTGGTTTAGCTCATCAACGTGGAATATTGAAAATCCTGGCTAGATTCTGATGTCTCTTTGGATTGATGCTGTTCAGATCGCAGTGAAATGATGAGGACCATAGATGGCAGTCTACACCCGATTGCATAGCATCTCACAGAGAGAAGTCAAAGACCTCAATGATTGGTTTCATATTAAGGTTGAACTACACCTCAGGTCTATTCCAATCCA